ACGTATTATATAATTCTATGATGATCTGAAGAAGTTAAAACATAATTTTTACGTACAGACATGACATTTTTTGCTTGTTCCTTTTGTAACATGCATTATTACAGTTTTATGAAAATATTTAAATGCTTTATGTTCATCTTTTTTCACTTTAATATAAATGTTCTTCAGCATCATCCATCTTTGCGGACTTTATGTAATCCTATTTAGATGCCTTATGTTCATCTTTTCTATCCCAATTCTATTTATATACAACTACAAGTGACAGATATTCTAAGCTTAAGGCCATATCTAGCATTACCATATACTCAGATTCTTATAATATTCGAATGCCATACGGTCGTCCATTTCCATTCCTACTTTATTTTGATAACAATAGCAAATCTAATATATTCTAATAATATTATTCACACTAGAAATTCATTTATTATATTTTAGCGAATGCATGAATTGCTGTTCAATCTCTGACGATTTATTCAAGTTTGCAAGTGATTCTTCATATCTTTTAATCATATGGTAAGCTGCATCATGACCTCATAGTGTCAATGCATTATTTGTAAGCGATTCCTTATATTTTCTGATATCTGTGACCACTTAATGCTTCTGCATTATTTGGTTCAAACTATTCCAATTTATTCGAATCTTCAAGTGATTTTTCATATTTACTAATTATCTCCACAACTTCTTAATTCATAACAGGTGGTTCTTCATATTTGGAATTATTTATTATATGCTTTTGAATTTTCTGCAAATTATAATATTTAATGAATGTCATATATTAATTCTTTTCAACTTTCTTCACCATATGTTATAGTTCATAATTTTTTACTATTATTTAGATATAGCAGTTCACATCTCCAAAAGGAACACCATAAAGCTCTTGCAAAGGTAAGAATTATTATTATGTTTAATTATAATTCATTGAAACTCAGCTCATTTTCCGACGGCACCTTGATGCCGTAGGAGAATGAACTGAGTTCGAATTAGACAAAATTATATTTTTAGAATCTCACCATTAGCAGATAGTTGTTATGAAGTTTAATTAGAATATAGAACTAATAGAATTGAACTAAGTTCAAATAGGTTTAATTCCAATTTCAATTCTAATTAAAAATTTAAAATTTAAAGTTTAAACCAAAATATTTCGGCAACTGCCAGATTAAATTTATTATTATGCAGCCATGTTATTGATGACTGCACTAAAAATTCTCATATTCATGCAATTTACATTATTACTGTTTGTACATCTTTTTTTGTATAGGTTAAATTTTAATAATGGTCTTATCCTAAAAAAAAAAAAAGGATAAAAGGAAAATGTTTAACTGATAACGTAAATTATACGTAATGTGGAAAATAATATAGTCGTCAATAACTGCCTCACTGTTTGAAACCCACATGCATATTTTTTACACTTTACGCAACAATAACTATATAATAAGAAAATTTTATAGACTATTAGGATTCAAATATCAGATATCTTTAGTTTCTTAACAAACAAGTTGAAGATTTTGTTTTTATGACAATTTTCCTTCGATTGGACTATTGGACTGTGCTTAGTCAAATGAAAAATATGAATCTGTTGCAATTACTAACAGAAGAGCCAGTTCCTTGTCTCGGATGATAAAAATTATACTATTTCATTATCGTTATGTACAGGGCAGATCTCCTGACAAAGCTGCCTATGACTTCTTCGTTCATGTGCAGCCCATAATTTGATGATAAAACACAACTTTTAAAAAAAGATACTTCAAAGGTTTTTAGTGCAGGAGTTAAAAAAAGTAATCCATATTAAAGTTTGAGATAATAAAAGCGTTTTTTATATATAAAGAAGACTAGTTAAGTTTTAAAGTATAAATATTAATTTGAAGGAAAGTTCATATTTTTTTTATAAAACATATAGATCATCATATTATTTCATATGTGCTGCAACTTGCAGATCCACTAATTAAATCATTATCCCAAAAATTTTTAGACATTACACTTGACCAATAAGCCACCACATTTATTATAAAATGCACCTATGATATGTTTTTATTATGTTTTTCAAAATTTTCCAAGTTTTTATAAGTTTTGTATATAAAATTTTTGATGCCAATTTTTTTATGTTAAAGTTAATACTTAAGGTTAGTATTAGGTTTGAGAAGGGTTTTTAGAAGCTTAGAACATTTTTACTTAGAACATATCGTACCGATTAATTAGTCAGTTTTTAAGATAGTCTATGCATAAGTATAAAACATCATATGTGCGTTTTAGTAAAAGTCATGGAATAAATAAAATTTATTTTAACAGCTAATTCAATTTTCTTAATTTTAACCTAAATTTTCATATTTAGAATTTTATTTTTTAACTCGATCAAAAAATCAAACACAACATCGATATAGTTATAGAATTATATCATTATATTACCTTGATCAAAAAATCAGATACAATATCAATATAGTCAAATTTATTAATATTATATACCGATACATGATTATATTAAATTAATTAAAAATCAGATATCAAGCTAGTCAATTTTATTAATATTACTATAATGTATAATCATGGCTTTAAGAATTTTCATATTAGAATCTTGGCATCATCAATGTAAATTTCGTTATGATGTTATATTAAATAGTTGCATAGTGGCACTTGTCAAATATATATATAATTTTTACTTTTAGCATTTTTCTCAAAGATTTCAAGCAACAATGATAAAAACAATTGAAGATAAAAGTGAACTCATCAAATATTGCTTTGATATTATCTGGAAAGTGACAGAAGGAAAAATAACTTCTGCAACTTTCAATGATAATCCACTATTTTCTGTTACTTCACATTAAATGATAGGTCTTCTAAAACAGTACATTTGGGTACACCAAATGTAGTCCTTATAAATAAAGAAAACTTTGCAAAAATTCTGAAGCTTGACGAACAGAATAACAAAATTTATATCACAATCGATGATAATAGTTACCATGAGGTAATAATACATTATTATTTTAGTTTATTCTGCAGAAAAATACTAAAAAGAAGAAAATTTTTAGGCTCAAGAAACAAATCTAGGATCTAGCTTTGAAGTGTTAGAGGGAGCTAGTAATAATCTGAATGAACATGATAATGTACTATTACATCTTAACATCAAGTCTCGATAAAATAATTTTTGATAACTATTAATGTCAAATACTTAAAATAAATTTTTTAGCCTAATACAACTGAGAGCACTCAATTAAATGAAGTTCAAGGTGTTGAGGTAAATAACTAATACTAATAAATTTCAAAAAGTGATCTTTTCAGAATGGTGTAATCATTATAGAATTACATGTTTATTTTTAATACAATAAAATTAACAAAAGAAATCTCAAAACTATACTGATCTGCAATTTGATGAGTATACAGATTTAGATGAAGAAATCGAAGAACAAGTTTTTGATAGGAAGGTAAGAATAATTCCAAATCTTTTTTAAATTAATAAAAATGCTAATACATATATCAGAATCAGAATGATAATAGAGAAGTAAGAAAATTTTACTTTTGATTCAGTTATTTTAAGCATTTTATATTTAATAAAGAATAAAAATCTATTAAAGTATGAATCAAGCCGAAATTACTGATGCAGTCAAAAAGGATCAAGCAAAAAATGTCATGTCTGTACGTAAAAATTATGTTTTAACTTCTTCAGATCATCATAGAATTATATAATACGT